ATGTTTAATTTGGTTATCTCCAAGATTGAACCTAAAAATGTTTAAATTGAACTCGATCATTCTGATTGGGTACAATCAATGAAGGAGGAGCTCAATGAATTCGAACGAAACAAGGTTTGGAGACTTATTCCCACTCCAAAGGATGCAATGATAGTTGGTCTAAAATAGGTATTTCGTAACAACCTAGATAAAGAAGTAAATGTGATAAGGAACAAGGCGAGACTCGTCATTAAGGGATACTGTCAGGAAGAAGGTATCGACTACAAAGAAAGCTTCGCACCCATTGCATGGTTGGAATACGTTCGTATCTTTATGGCATACGCATCACACAAGAACTTTGAAGTATATCACATGGATGTCAAGTGTGCATTCCTAAATAGGGAACTGGAAGAAATGATGTATAGGAACAAACACCATCGTTCATAAATGAAAAGTATCTGAACCATTGTTACATTCTGGACAAGGAAGTTTACGGTCTAAAGCAAGCTCCGAGAACCTAGTATGAAACTCCAAATCGTTTTCTAAATCAAGCTAAATTTAAACAAGGATCGGTCAACACAACCTTCTTTCGTAAAAAAAGATGGTGACCACTTAATGATCATCCAAATTTACGTTGATCACATCATCTTTGGATCAACCTATCCTAACTTAACAACTGAGTTATGAAAGTTGATGGAAACTAAATTTGAGATGAGCTCCATGGGTCCAATTAAATTTTTTGTTGGCTTGAATATAAGATAGAGTTAGGAAGGTATCTTTATCGATCAGGAGGCTTATACAAAGGCTTTACTCTACAAGTTTGGAATACTAGGAGATTCAAAGGAAAAGTTTCCAATGGCATTCGGAACGAAACATACACCATCTCTGGACAATCCAGCTGCTGATATGACTCTCCATCATTAATTGATAGGTTCATTGATGTATTTGTCTGCTAGTCGTCCAGATATCATGTTTTCCATCTGCTACTATGCCAGGTTTCAAGAGAATCCTCGTGAACCTCACATGACCGCTATTAAGAATATCTCCAGGTATCTTAAGCGTACATCCTCACTAGGAATATGGTACCCTTCAAGTTCGATTTTCCTTGTGCAAGCGTTTTCGTATGCTGATCTTGGAGGTTTCATTTTGGATAGATAGAGTACTACGGGAGGATGCCAATTCCTTGATGGCAAGCTCATAAGTTTGCAATCTAAAAAGCAAAATTGCATTTCCCTATCAACTGCTGAAGCAGAGTACATAGATGTTGCCTCTTGTGCTTTACAAGTAATCTAGATTGAAAGTCATCTTCGCAACTATGCTATCAACATGAAGCCATTCATATTTGTCACAACCCAATGCAACATTAAAATACAAAACACATAGCACTGAGGAAACACGTCATCAAAGATTATGTGGAAGATGGTAATGTAGAGATACACTGCATTAGATCTGCTGATAAATTAGACGATATCTTCAAGAAAGTGTTGCCTGAGAAAACCTTCAATCGCATTCTTCAAGGCCTAGAAATGGAAGAGGATGAACCTATTCCGAAACAACCTTCGCATTGGTAATGTTTTAACTGTGAATTGGGGAGAACGCTTGTAGTGGCTTGCATTCTACTTTTCATACTACGAATTGGTGCGAACGCTCGCAGTGACTTGCAGTCTACTATTCATTCGCAGGTTCACAATTTCATGTATCCTTTGTACAATATGTTTATTACTTCTTATTTCTTTATGTTTTTATTTCTTTTTTCAGAAAAACAAAATCCTAAAATATTTTATTTGTTTCATTTTTTATTTATTTTTCAGAAAATTAAAAATACAAAAATATTTTCATTATTTTTTGCCCTTATTTCTTTTCATATATCAATCAAAATACAAAAAATATTATATAATTGAGCAGGTTCAAAGATTCATATCTTGGTGATCTCAGTTACGAATGATGAGGAAGGAATACAATTCTTAATCTATGCACAAGTTAAGTGTCCCTAGAAGCATGCTGTTGCATGTAATCTGAAGCCTCACAGACTCTATGTTGAAGCCTTAATGAATCAATAACACCAATCGTTTCTTCCTAATTAGGCTGATTAATTCACATAAGTTATGAGCCACCTTACTCTTCTCGCTTTGAGTTAAGAGTTCGTTGCTTGGTCACTTTTGCATAGCAGAGTTACATTATTTCTTTGGAACCACCTTCTACTACTCTCCATCACTTTCGTATTCACGAACATAACCCTTGAGACTCTCAGTTATTACCACTGAGGTTTATGGTTACACAACTTCTGTATTTATGATCATAAATTCATTATTACCACGAATTGAGTGAAATCCAAAATCCAACACATTTTAACGAATTGACGGTGAACATTTACATGTTCTACATTTTCCACCAAGGATTTGATGAATGTCTACTATCATGGTCTGTACCAAGAAATCTCATTTTATTTTTCAAGATCTTATTGAAATGTTCTAGTCCAAGTCACTGAAAAATTATTCCCAAGCATTCTTGTTTTTATGGCTACACTGGTCAAACAAGTACTTCATACGAACTTTCGGACTTATGATGAGTTTCAAATTTAGTTGAACAAGAAGCCCTCTCATTCGACTTATTAAAAGAAACCTTTCACTATTTCTCCATAAACAGATGATCTTAATTCAACGGGACACCACACAGGCACTTCAAAGTCTCTCTTGACTACGAAAGAAGAGATCGTTACCCGTGATCCATCAGTTTCATGTCTTATGTGACATCACTAGAATCGATAAGAAAACTCTCTTTATTTCTTTATCTTTGGCACACTCTTGTACAAATATCTCTATGATTTTTAAAATTCTTGTTAGTTGTCCTATTGGTTACTTTTATGATCGGAGTACTATAAATGGTAATCAATTGCGAATGTATGCGGCTGCGAAAGTCAGTATCTGAAAGGACGATTCGAAAAGATAAGATTTGAAATTTGGGCGCATGGAATTTGAAACAGCTCCTGACTTGACGCCTAGTTTACTGTTTCCTGATACATACGCCTGACGTAACAATTGTCACTCACGCCTTTTCAGGTGTTTTTTAAGGCTTTTGAAATGCCAAGCGTCAGATTTTCTCTCTCCTACTACACGGTATAAAAGGATATCGACGCTTCATTTATCATTACCGCTTTCAAAGAAATAAAATTCTGAAGCAATTTCTCTCTAAACTGTTCATCTTCTTCAACAAGCATCAATGGTAGGTTATTCAGAAACCCCTTCCGCCCAAGAACAATCAGCGTAATCTTCGATTTTCAACATAAAGGCAAACCAAAACATGATACTCGACCTTGATCCTATCAAATACGAAGAGTTTCTTCAACCTATCGTCGAATGTTTGAGGTATTCTCCACTGGTCATTGCTTTGACTAAATCTGAGATAGTTCCTATGGTTCACTTGTCAAAGGCCTACTCAACTGCTCACTATTAGAAAGAAGAACAAAGGATTTCATTTGAAGTATTCAATAGGGAAACCCACATCACTAAGTCTGGATTTTGTTCTCTGTTAGGGCTTCCTCAAAAAGGAGACTTAATCAATATTGAATCGATCTCCAACTCTACCATCATGGAGATGTTCTTCCAAATGGGATACAAGGAGGCCTAACTGTTGTTTCCAAGTTCAAGAAGCCCAATTTACCACCAATGTGGAATGGGATGTTTACCCTCCTTTTCAAGAGCTTCTTTGAGCTTGTCACAGGATCAGATTGTGCCAGCAAGCTCTTCATGACTCTCATGTACAAGGTTTATTCCAGAGCAAACCTTGATTATGGCGCAGTGCTATGGGCTTAATTGGTCCAGAGTACTCTCTAATACACGACACAGTAAGATTTCTTATGGTTGTTTCTGGACTTTGGTTGTTCAACGAGCCATTAATAAGCTTCACATTCTTGTCATGAAAGATTCTGTTATGGTTGCGATTCTGATTTTCCACACAACAAATATCATTTTAACTGATAATTCAAAATTCTCCTTTATTGGGTCAATCCCTGAGGCTATGTTTCATGATGTACATGTTGCAAGTAAAGTCCTGGAAGCTTATCGAAAAATATCAGCATCTGGCTTCCGCCCATTGAATGATGAGATGCGAAAGACCCTTGGCGAAGTAGACAAAACCAATAAGGGAGGTAATTAGAAGGCTGTGAAAGTTGGTATATTTAAACCCCCTCAAGCTCCTAAAAAGAAGAATATCAAGAAGGTGGCTTTTTGGCGAAGATATCCAACTCCGAATGACCACAAGGGCTCACAGTGTCACACACTTTCAAATGTTCCCGTGTAGTGTGGTACAAAAAAAGAACAAGAGGATGATACTGTAGCAACATCTAATCCGAAGGTTTCGAAGCCTAGAGCTACGAACCCTAAGCTAACATTTGAAATCCCAACCTCTATTCCAATTACTGAAGATCTTTTCCAGGATTTGTCCATCCCTTTTCCTACATCTACTATTTCTACCCCAATCACCATCTCCCCTTGCCCACCAGTATCAATCGGGGTTTCGCTATCAAAATCCACCCTCACACAATCCACACTACTATTTACTGATTCAACCGCAACTACAACCACTACTACTAATGAACCTCAAGTCACTGTCATCACATTTGATGTGGGGGCAAGGGCTTCAGTTTTCTCAGTCGGTCATTCAACACCACCCATTTCTCCACTAAGGCGGGATGATCCAGATACCATTTTTAGAGGTGATGTAAATTTTGGAGATTTCACTTTCAGTCCTTTTTATGTTGTTGAGGAAAGTGACGATGACGCACCAATCACTCAAAAACATGACAAAGCCATAAATAACAAACTAGATTCGTTAATCCAATCTTACAATACTTCATCTAGGAATGCCTATTCCCAGGAAGCAGTCAAGGCATTAATTAAAACATCTTTAAAAGAGCACACTGTAAACCTAGAGAAGGCGAATAAAACCATGGAGGATTCGGCTAACACTTGCAAAGAAGCAAACAAAAAAGTCGATAAAATATTACAGATGCTTGTTCCTTCATGAGCACCTTTCAGAGCTCCTTTGAGTCCAACACTACCAAAGCCAATGCAACAATCTCAAATATGAGTGTTTCCCTTCGCACCGAGAAGGAGACTCTCAAGAAGGTTCACATAGGAATCCAATTTCACCAATTTGAGCTCAACTCCTCTATCACATCCAAAATCACCAAGCTTCAAGATGACTTAGCTTTTGAGAGCAAAATAACGGATGCTCTCACATGCAAAACTGAGAAGGTGAAACTGCTCACTGTGAAGCTTGAATCTGCTGAGAAGAAAGTCAATGAGTTCTTATCCGAGAGAGCTGTTGCGAAAGCTATGTTTCCGACGTCATATCTTTGCTGTTAAATGTCGTTGAAGCTCATGATCCACTGATCCCTCTTACCGTTTGATAGCATCTCGCAGATAAAATTCGCCCTGCATTCGCAATGCTAAATCTCCTTAAGGGTGTTTCAGAGTTTTCCTCACTTTCGAAACAAGGGGAGAATCTAAGAAACCTTCACCCAAGAAAGTAAGTGAACAAGAAAAGCCAAAGGTATCTAAATCTAAACCGAAGGGTAATGTATATTCGGGTTCAAAGGGAAAGGAGAAAGTGCTAGAAGAAGAAGAAAAGGAAGAAGAAGAAGACAAAAATGAGAAACCAAAGTGCAAGGCTCATGATACCATTCTCGATGAAAACATGCGCATTGAGAGAGAGGCAGAGGAAAAAGAAATGGCTAATCGTGATGCTCAAACTGCCTTAGCTGCCAAGAAACTGCTATTTCCTCCTCGGTCCATGGAGCGCATGCTGAAGAAGTTGTAGACAATCCGAGCCTTCACTGGTTAGAGCTAGTTACATCATTCGAACGCTCCAGACTCATATGTGAATGTTGATAAGTCTCTGATGACATTTTATTTGAAGTACAGAAAACCTCAGTTGCATACCTGGAGTTCGCAGAAGATCAATGTCGTCAAAGTGATTGACCATATTCAAACCGAGAGTTTTGATAATGTCAAATTCAAAACCACTCAAGGTTCTGGGAATTTAGTGTTTGAGTTCTTGCTTGCAGATCTTCCATGCCTAAACCCTTATGACTGGATTTTTTGTTGCACTTCCTAATGCAAGACGAGAAGAAATATGGACCAGTAGTTGGTCACATCCAAAGGATGTTTGTTTCATACATTTATGAAGTTGTGAAGTTCAATGTTGAAATCGCTTCGGTTTTACGAAAGAAACCAAAAGTCCTTCCCAAAGGATAAACAGGTGATATAGAGAAGATGAAAATGGGGAAAATCAAAACTGATAACTAGACGGTTATGTTCTAAAGGGGTTTAAGAGAGAGAGGAGACATTCAAAAATGTATGTTCGCACTGCCAGATAAGCATCTGTTTTCAACAGTTTGCTTGAACTAAATTTTTGATATCACAAGCAATTGCAATGCAAAAAATGTTGCTGCAAAGAAGTGTTATTCCGACATGATTCGCTAGTACATTGCCTTTTGCAGTTCTCTTCTCAGTGTTATGCCCAAGCTATTCATGACCCAGAAGCACATTCAATATTGAAGGTCTTCCTCCGAATCGATGCAAAGGGGGAGATTTTTGGGTGTTTGGTGTTGCGTCTTTATGGGATTTTATATAGTCTTTTGTGTATCCAGGTTGGGCCTGTCCACCCGTGATTAATGATTAGGGTTTTACTATTTAAGGTGCATGTATGCATTGTCTCTTGTATACGTCTTTTTTGCATTGTAAACCCTACATAGCCTCTACAGTAGCAGTTCTTTATCGACCTCTTATGAGGCAATGACTTTTAATCATTCAACAGATTCGTGATTCATATTATGTGTTAGATTGCTTTTTTCTGTTTGAATCTATTTGATCTTTATAGTTTTAATCTCAATAAGATCTTTCAAGGTGAATTTTCATACAATAAGAGAAATAAGTGATTAATGTAAGTGATGAGTGGAATTTGTAAAAATTATGTCATCAACATAGGCTAAAAAGTAGAAAAAGATAGGATCCATGGTATTTAGATTAACAAGGATTAATCATATTAACTTTGTACAAACATGGTTGTAGAAATGCGATCGACAAAACAATTGTACCAAAAATGTGGAACATATATAAGACCACAAAATGAATTTTGGAGGAGACATTACCCTAGTCAGGATGGGTTGTGAAGACCCACATGTTAATGAATTTACATTGTCTCTAGTGAATTGGCCAAGATTTAGATGATGTAAGGCATGTAACACGAATGGTAGCCAATTTTACAATGGGATAAAGGTTTCCATACAACGAATAAGGCGTAGTCTATAAATCTAAAAAGAGTTGTTCGATTTCATTTTATGTCTAAGATTTAGCATTGACCAATGTGCATATATGGATTTCAAGACAAGGGCCATGTCTTATTGTTAATTACCTCATTGAAATCATTATTCATGCCACTTTTCCAATTCGAGTTGGATATGACATCCTTGGGATTATGTGGAATATGTGAGATCGTGATGTTAAATTGTATATTGGTTTTCTATATACATGACATACTATGATAATGAATAGTTTGAGTGGGATGGATATTAGATTAGATAATATGTATGGGTGTGGCTAGAGAATCCATGGAACCGACATTTGAGTGTATAGGCCTAAAGAATTCATGTTAAAGGGTGATTTGTTAGATGGTAGTACATGTGCCTGGCATGGAGAAAAGATACTAGGAAGGGGGCTATTAGGATGAACTGACTTGGGCCATATAATATCCTAAAGTTTATGTACTTGGCATTTTAATATGCATCACATATCAAGTGTGAACTTATAGATGATATTATAAGAAAATGAAAGGTCTATATCAAATGAGAACAAGATTTGGAAAAAAAGTGAAAATTGAATCCTCATGGTTAAGTATTGGAAACCATGTTTAACAATGTTATATATAAAGTTTCTAATGAAATATTACACATATAGGGTCTATGTTATGCAAAATATCCAAGTATTTGCAAGAAAATACTATATTGTAGAAATTCATAATTTGTTAAGTGTTTCACTGTAGGGCTATATAAATAAGGATTAGAAGCATAAAAATTATGAGTTAAATGCTTCAATGTGTATCAAGAATTAAAATATAGACAATGCAAAAAGAATCAACTCATTTGGAGCTTAAATAAAAAAGGTTCGCTTTATTAAAATGGGATGTCAGTTATTTTGAAAGATTTAAGTGTGTAAACCCTTATGTTTCAGACTATGAAAGATATTCTTAAGAGCATAAAATCAAAAGTTTCTTGACTTCAAAATTAAGCGAAGACCATTAGAGTAAATAGCAGATATAATCAATAAGATTGAAGTTAAGATGAAAAGGTTATGATAGTTTTTATATGGCATGCAACTTATATGAAATGATAGAAGTGTGCAACACCTTATGTTCATATCTATATAACTCAAAATATAGAACATCTAATCAGTAAATTCCTAAATTAAAGTTTCATTCAACACAATAAATAATAACTACAAAAGGATTATGGCGAAGTTAAGAGCTTTATAAGATAGAACTTTTCACTAGCGCAGTTTGTGTGGAGTACAATCCAAACCATGGTTTGGTATGAACAAATCATTTGAGCTATTAGACCTTATTTCACCCTTCAGTGCACTCCGCACTACAATAGGATTAAGACCTACTCAAATCACACTAGTGGATGCTGTGACATCCCTAATTTCAAGGCTAGAAAAAACTAATTTATTTATGCTTATTTTGAAATCAGATTATCCTTAAAAGAATAACATTATAGAATTTGTTCCCAAAAACATGATAATGATATTATCAAAACTTTTCTGAAGAAACATATTTTATTTATATTAAAAACCTTGGGATATCATTGTCGATACAATACATACGCATACACAAAATAATACAGGCCTTACAATAGTTAATCTAAACAAGTGGCCTATAGGCATCCACAAATCTCTCATCATATCATCACATCTGTGCTCTTGTGACACTATCTATAATATAAGAAATTGAGTGAGTCAGATAGGGGTCTGTTGAGAATATAGGGTTTTTAACCCACAATAATTAAATCTTTATTTATTATTATCAAATTATCAACCTGATAACCCCTTCCTATTATCCTTAATTTCTGTCCTAAGATCTAATTTCAACGGACCTATCCTAAGGATCATTTTCGGGATAAGAAATAATGCTTAGGGGAGACAATAACAATATATGTTAGTAAGGCAACCATGGCGGGGATGGAGTACACATGGTGTGAACACTAAGTTCAAAACACCTACAGGTTGCGAACCTGCTAGCGTTCCACTGGATTGTCTCATAATATATATCGCCTTTCATCTATTATCATCTATGTCGTCTTATATCTACCAATCTTTACCCAACATATGTACAGGTAATAAAATACATATACTGTTCAAAATCGAGTAAAACATGTATAAATCTTTCATCTAGCATAGATATAAGGAACACATATAATATGCATATATAGCATGTAATTATCTTAAATACTTTATATCTATGTGTAAGATAAAAGTAACTATGCACTCACATGATAGAATGGGTGACTGTTGATCTAGATAGAGCTTCGTCCAATAACTTAGATATTCCTTGACATGACCTAAGTATATTTACTACAAATTTTTAGTCTAATAATCATAGAGACTAAGAATAGTCAAGATCCTCACTAATCCCAATGTCTACATCACGATCTATCAAGTAAAGATCAACCTGGAAGCATAGTTAGGAGGCACGATCATTTTGGCATAATAGCTTTTCTAAAATCCAAAAACCAAGCAACCATAACCATTCTAGAAGCATCTCTCGTAAGTAGATCAATCAATATAATGACATGGAATTACAGATAAATCTTATTTATAGGTTCATAATGATGACTTTTGACTATAAATATAAGTTACATAGAAAAGACTAGAGTATAGTTTAACCTAAAGAGGTTCTTCCTAATAGAAGTTAGGAATTTGGTCTGGAAGAGCTTTTACTCACTAGCTACTACTTCTTTAGGGATCGCATGGATTTGCTGAAGGCTAAAACTAAGGGAAATGGGCTAAAATTGAGAGAATTTCGAGAGAAAGGAGGATGGGGAGTGAGGAAACTAATGATCAGCTGAAGCCTATTTATAGTGCAACTATACACCGCACCTAGTGTGTGTGTCGCGCACACCCGAGATGTCACTCCTCCTAATTTTTTTCCACATGTCGCAAACATGGTGGTACATGCCCCACCTTTTACAAGGTGCGCGCCGAGCAACCCACCTGTCTAACAGACCAAAAATCCAAGTAAAAAATTTCATTTAAATATTAAAAATTCCCATTTAATAATTAGAAGTTCCAATTAATTTTTTTTCTAAACATTCCAATACATAAGCATTCTATTTAGAAAGATAAGAGTGTCCCTAACACTAGTGGGGTAAAATGATGGAAAGTGCACGCTACACCATCATGTCGGGCCCTTGCCCTTAGATCCCGAAGTACCTGAAACAACCAAAAAACTGTAAGCTAATTCTTAGTGAGTTCCCCAAAATATACCCAACCATATAACCATATAATTTCATGCAAACATAAACATAAGGATGCCATGAGCTCCCTTCATGGTCTTTATCCATAATACCACGGGCTACCCTCATGATCTTATACCCGTGGGCCATGGGTTCCCCCATGGTCTCAACCAATTGACAGGGGCTCCCTAATGGTCTTTATATAATCACATAATACAAAAAATAACACATTCATTGCACATTAAACTATTAAAACTTCATAACATATACGGGTCGTCCTTCGTGCCTTCGACCCATTGGTATGGTGAGA